GCTTTGACCGAGCTGTTGTAGTGCCAGCTACTTCTTCTCGTGCTGAGGGTCACCTTCAGAAAATTGTTGGATTAGATGGTGCTCATTCCAAACATCAGCGTTATAACGGAACTATGCTTCTACTGATCGGACGTGATGGAAATATGGAAAACGTAACACTTGCTGTAGCTCTTGTGAAGAAAGAGACGATGGAGAATTACGAATGGTTTTTCCAGCAATGTTGCCTCGGTGGTCTGAAGTTTGCTTACCCTCTGATGTCGGATAGAAATACTGGATTGATTAATGTGTGTAAACAGCGTGGCATCGACCACAAGTACTGCACTCTTCACATTCAACGAAATGTGATTGCTACTTTTACGAAGTTTACTGTTAAACAGAAAGCTTTGGTTTGGCGTATCCAATCTTGTACTAGTATGGATGACTACAACTCTCAGCTGGCTATCACTGAAGTGGAATGCGGAAACCCTGTTGCTGATTATCACCGTGGTATCAGTCCAAAGCACTGGGTGGTTTTCCCGAACTTGGGAACGAATCCTCTGTACGGATGGCGCACGACAAATTTCGTAGAGGCAGAGAACGGCGCTACTCTAGCTGAGGGGCTTCGAGATCTATCCCCTTATTCGTTCCTACGAGAATTCATGATGAATTTAATGGCAGATGCCTTCAAACGAAGTGAACAAGCGCGAGAGTGGGCCCACAAAGGATGTATCGTTACGCCGAAGGCTATGAAAGCGTACGACAAACAGAACAAGATGATGGGAGAGTACGAAGTTCGGGAATCTAAAGTTGATGTTTGCTACGTTTCTGCTGTCAACGTATTTCCACGAGTTTTACGCCGAGTGAACTTGACGCAGAAAACATGTACTTGCGCTTTCGTGGACCAGTACCGCAGACCTTGTCGGCACCTCATAGCTGCCTTATCACATCGTGGCAAGATGGAGTTGGTATGGGGCGCATTTGGATCTGAATATCTTGTGACCACGTACGTCGCAGCCTTCTTAGACGCCTGTGTGGACGTGCCCGTCGAGTCTGAGATTGATGTAGATCCATCCGTACTACCGTCGCCATTCGTCCGCACTGCAGGGCGGAATCCGAAGCGACGAATGCGGAGTAGAGGCGAAGATGGCAACGCTAAAGTGTACAAATGTGGAAGGTGCGGTTTTAGTGGAAACAACAGAGAAGCTGTGCAGTAGTATTAAAATAGATACATGCAATCCCTCAGCTTCAAAATGATTTTTTTTTGTGTTCTTATCACTGCGGATGGAACCTACTCGATCTCAATTACTTCGGGCTGCGTCGGCTTTGCTGGATTTCTGCACTCTGGGCTCTTGCATACACATTCAAACCAAATGTCATTGTAGTCAACCGTAATCTCTTTCCCGACAGGGATATCCCGAAGACCGATCACGGCAACGCGTGTCTGCCGACGGTACTGCATCTCAAAAAAACCGTTGTCTGCATCACACGAGTGGTTGATGAACCATGTCAACCCTCCTTGCGTCTTCGCGTCGATGTAGACCTTTCGACCCTTTACATCTGTAGTTGCTAGACCCAAGGCGTAGTCGCTCGTTCGTTCATCATCTTTCTCGAAATCATGAGTTGTGAGAACTCCAGTGTACTCACCCACTATAGCTCCTTCCGGGATAAACGTT